TACGGGTTAAAATACAAGTCACATAGTCTCTGAACATGTACTGCAAAGAAAAATTGGAAAACAAAAAAACAGAACCCTCTGAGATGAGAATGAGGTAACATTTCATTAAAAATGGAAGAAAAATGTCCCCTTCTTCCCCACAGTTGTGTGCTAATTCCTATAGCTGTGCATCTCTTAGCTTTCCTAGGGACCTCAAGCCATCATGTATCATCCCTTTCTATCTTCAGATTCTCAGTCTACTGACTTTTTCAACACAAGGTATTAAAAAAATTGTTTCACCTATATTAAGCCTTTCCCTTAAGCCCCCCCTCCCTTTATCCTCTCTTTTGACAGCCAAGCATTTTCTAGAGCTGTGGTCCCCAACCCCCCGGGCCGCAAACCGGTACCAGTCTGTGGCCCCTTAGGAACCGGGCCGCAGAGCAGGAGGTGAGCGGTGTGTGTGAGCGAGGGAAGCTTCATCTGTATTTACAGCCACTCTCCATCACTGGCATCACCACATAAGCTCCACCTCCTGTCAGATCAGCAGGGGCGTTAGATTCTCATACAAGTGCGAACCCTACGGTAAACTGCACATGCGAGGGATCTAGATTGTGCACTCCTTATGAGAATCTAATGCCTGGTGATCTGAGGTGGAGCTGAGGCGGTGATGCTAGTGCTGGGGAGTGTATGCAAATACAGATTATCATTAGCAGAGAGGTTTATCCCCCATCACCCCTTGGTAGTGGAAAAGTTGTCTTCCTTGAAACTGGTCCCTGGTGCCAAAAAGGTTGGGGACCACCGTGCTAGAGAGCTTTACTTGGCTTTCACTTCTTTGCTTCCTGTTCATTCTCTACTCACTGCCACCAGGCTCCCCACTCCCCACCACCTTCACTAGTTCTGAGAGTTCCTTCCTTCCCATGATAACTGGAAGTAATTCCCCATGTGACAGCTGTCAAGCCAACTTTGTGTGTCAAATGTATCGCCTTTGCTTTTTTCTGCCTTCTCTCAATCACTCCTCATTTCTCAATCGAGTCATTGAAATGTGCTCAAAACTCACCTCCCTTTTATATCAAACAGCTCTAATCAACCCTCCAGCCTGAAGTCTACATCTTTCGGAAATGAAAATTTAGTCCTGTCACTGCTCTGTTCAAAAGTCAGCCCAAGCTGGGCATGGTGGGTCACGTCTGTAATCCTAACACTTTGGGAGTCTGAGGTGGGAAGACTGGTGGAGGCCAGGAGTTTAAGAGCAGCCTGGTCAACATAGCAAGACCCCGTCTCTACAAAAAATAGAAAAAATTAACTAGATGTGGTAGTGTGTGTCTGTAAGTCCCAGCTACGTGGGAGGCTGAGGTGGGAGGATCACTGGAGCCCAGGAGTTTGAGGCTGCAGTGAGCTGTGATCAGGTAGGCCACTGTACTCTAGCCTAAGCAACAGAGACAACCCTTTCTCAAAACAACAAAAAGTCAGCCCAGTAAAATCCAAGTTCCTGAGCACTGTGCACTTAAATGGCCCAGCTAATCTCTCTTCTGCAGCCTCATCACCAGATATTCCTCTTTGTGCTCTATTATCCAGCCATGTTGAACCACACTTCCCCAAAGGTGCTAGGTTATTGTTGCCTTTGCCCTATAAATCTGCGCTTTCTTGTCTCCCTCTTCCCTTTGCCTCATCAAATCCCTCCTGATCCTAGCTCAAAATTCAATTCGTATCAAATCCTCTAGCACCTTGCTACTCAAGGTCCCCAGGCCAGCACCAACTAACTGTATCACCTGAGAACTTGATGGAAATGCAGAATCTCAAACCCCATCCCAGACCTGAGTCATAATCTGCATCTTAATACAATCCCTTTGTGATTCGTGTGCACAAATTTGAGGATACTGCTCTTAAATTCAATGTGAGTGAGTGGATGAAGGAAAGAATGTATCAATCACTGAGATTGATGTTCATTTATTGGAATGAAGGAGAGCAATGAGAATGTTTGCCAGCAAAGAAATGGATGATGTTAAAAGTGTCTGTCAGGCCAGGCACAGTGGCTCATGCCTGTAATCCCAGCACTTTGGGAGGCCGCAGCTGGAGGATTGCATGAGGCAAGGAGTTTGAGACCAGCCTGAGTAACATAGCTAGACCCCATCTCTACAAAAATATAAAAATTAAAAAAAAATATCATATGCACATAAATTTTATGACACTTATGGAGCTGTTACTTATGTGGAGGAAAAACAATGACCAAAAATTGAAAAGGGAAAATAACAAATGGACCAGAAGGATAGAACCTGAGAGACACTTTGTGATTTTTTTTTTAATTCCATTTTCAGTTGCCCAATTAACTATTAACTTTTTTTTTTTATTTTTAGTAGAGACGGGGTCTCGCTCGTGCTCAGGCTGGTCTTGAACTCCTGAGCTCAAACGATCCACCCGCCTGGGCCTCCCAGAGAGCTAGGATTACAGGCGTGAGCCACCGCGCCCGGCCTGCTTTGTGATTTAAAAAGAGAAATTGGGGAGAATAGAGTAGAAGAAACAGTTTAGAAATTTGCCCCAGTGGATTTCTAAAAATATCTGTAAGAGTATCTTGGGTAAATGTATACAAGAATGATACATGTTGCTAACTAGCATAAATCGTATATTTTAGAAACATTAATCAATTACAATTAAGCTCTAAACTTTATAAATAGAAAATCAAACTCAAGAGCATGAGTATAAAATATGCCCATTTTCAACCATCTATTTTGATGAGAAAGCATGTGGTATTGTCTACAGGGTTATGATTGTAAAACTCTCATTCAGATCCCACATTTTCACTTTTGAGAGGCTTTCGGTGCATGGTTCTGATGCTTACAGCATAAGAATGGAAAATGTGCTGGCATCTCAGGCATAGTGATGGCAGCCACACATTGGTGTCTACGTGTGAGGCATTGTGTTGGAGGCCGTTCGCATGTGGTATTCATTATTTGCTTTTGAATATATAAGAATACTTGCTTCAATTTATTTTCCCTGAAAAGGATTTATATAAAAGGGAGGGGGGTTGAGTACTTACTGAACTATCCACAAGAGCTCTGCAGGATGGTATAAAAAATGGACTTGGAGAACAAGTATCTAATGTATTAAATATCTCCAGAAATTTAGGAGAAAGCCTGGTTGAAGGAAAGACTATTTTGAATAATACAGTATTTTGTTTATTCTGGAAGGGAAAGTGATCAACCCCCTTCACCAGTGAAGAGTTAAACTGACCTCAGGTGCCTCTTGATGAGATGCACTGAGATGCATTTATCTGGGATTCCTGCCCCAAACTCATAATCTGAATCCACTCATGAAGAAATTTCAGACAAGCCCATATTGAGAGATAGTCTATAGAACTGGCCTGTACTCTTCAAAAAAACATCAGTGTTATAAAAGACCAAGACTGAGGAACTCTTCCAAATTGAAGAAGACTAAAGAGACAGGATAACTAAATGCCATACATGATCCTAGATTGATTGAATCCTGGATCAGGGAAAAATACAAAGGTCATTTAATAAAATTTGATTATGAACTTTAGATAATAATAATAATAATGTATTAATGTTAAATTTCCTGAATCTTGTCAATTGTACTGTGGTTATGTGAGATAATATCCTTGTTCTTAGGAAATACATCCTGAAATATTTAGGAGTAAAGGGGCTAAGCTGGGTGTAGTGGCACGTGTCTGTAGTCCCAGCCACTTGGGAGGCTGAGGCAGGAGGATCTCTTGAGCCTAGGAGTGAGATACGATCACAGCATTGCTCTCCAGCCTGGGTGACAGAGTGAGACCGTATCCCTAAAAAGAGCATGGGAGGAGGGGCAAAGGGAAACATGTCTGCAACTAGCCATCAAATGGGGAAAGAGAGAGAGAGACAGAGAACATTAAAGCAAGTAAAATTAACAACAGATGGACCTGGGTGAAGAGTATATGAGGAGTTCTTTGTACTGTTATTGCAACTTGCTTTGCAAATTTGAAATCAAAATAAGAAGTCTTACCAGATTTTTTTTTAATGCACAAAAATATTTCAATTGGATTTAGTGAATGATAGAAGAAGGTATTGGGGGTAATTGAATTCATGATAACTCTAATCCTACACAAAATTAGTTCAGTGATGTAAAGTAACTAATCCAAGCCTCCTCCGCACACACTGCAATGAAACGTTTCATTTGGATCTATCCCAAAATTCAGACCACACAGAATGTTAGCACTTGAACTGTTCCATTTTTAAACACAGAATCTACCTAAGGTCAGGACCTACCAAGGAGGACGACCATGGCTTCCTCGGAGAATGTTTCAAATAGACATAATTAATTGCTGATGAATCAGCTCTCTGGGGACAGAGGGTAAGTAATATTCTAGCGAGTTGGCAAGATTCTGCAACGGAGCAAGACGACTCCGTGTAGGGAACAGGAGTCTCTGGATCCGAGCTCTTCTATTCGCTTTTCTACCATGGGAATTTGCTGTCAAACTCAATTAGTGAAATCCTGGATGACTACAAAGTGCATCGTGCTGTGGGATTATGCATGAGGCTATTGTAGGAGAGTGGTTTGTACACAGACCTCAGAAAATAGTTGTTGAACATATACTTACACTTTTTTACCTGATTCTCATGCTAACTCTATAAAATATTCAGAACACATACAAATATCCCCATTTTACTTATTAAAAACCCATATACAGAAATTATGCAACTTGCCCAAGAATCAGGAGAGAGTAAAGGAAAAAAACCTAGAGTTTGAACTGGTATATTCTCACTCTGTGCGAGTTTTGAGGGAGTTAGAGATTTACCTCTGTTTCATCGAGTGCTTTCTCGGTCAGGAAGTCACAGAAATGGGCATTCTCTCCAGGTTAAACCTTGTGATAAATAAGCAATTCTAAGGACTAAACCACACAACCTCTTGTTTTCTTTAGCTATAAAATGGGAATAATACCCACTTGCCCACTGAATTAACATTATTGTGGCAATCCAATATTAATGACAAAATGCTTTGGCAAGTTAAAAGGAGATATACAACTGGTTATTCTTAAAAACACTCTAATGTTAAAACAACCTGAATTTTTTCCGTGACGATTCAGAAAAGCAAAAAAATCTTACCTTTTCCTTCTTTGGTAGCTTAGATTGTTCGCAAGGTCTTACTGATGGTGACTTACTCTGCCTAACAAGAACGGCCCATTTGGAATTTCTCTGAGTGGTTTCCTCGTAATTATCCGTATGCCAGGCCATAAAAGCGCGACTATATTTTCCTTGCATATCCAGGATATGAGGTTTTGGTTGCCTGAAATAGGAACAAATTGATGAGTTCTCAGATGGAAAAAAAATCGAGCAACAAGGCCACCAGTTTTCAGATGCTTGAGAGGTGTCTGTTTCTGTAGTCATTTGAGGCGATTCTAGCCATGTGGGAGAGCTGAACACCTGAGCCACCAGCCAGCATTCTGAGAAGTTCCTGGACTCCATCCTCTCCACATCACCGGGCTGCTGTAAGTGCCAGAAACTGCCTGCAGGATGGACACTCGTTTAGGAACCTCATCAATGAACGCACTCCCATGTCATGACTGACCCTTTATGTCTTTTCAGAGCCAAGCAGGGAAGATGCTGTGAGGCTGAAGGTGGCATGTTGCTGAGACCTCTTGAGACCCATGTGTTCTCCTGAAGGACATGGCCTGTCCTTTTTGAGGTCTCCGGGGCATTCAAGAAAACACCAGCTTTTAGATTCCTAATGCTGGCTTTGGCCATCATTTTGGAGGAAAGATCTAGGCTTCCTCCTCTTTCCATGGTGACATCCTTGGGTAGATTTCAACAACCCTAAATTAAAACGTTATCTCAGCTCTGCCTTTCCATCATAAAGGCAGGGGGTGGTAAGAGATGAGGTCTCACTACATTGCCCAGGCTGGTCTTTTTTTTTTTTTTTTTTTGAGACAAGAGTCTTGCTCTGTTGCCTGGGCTAGAGTGCCGTGGCATCAGCCTAGCTCACAGCAACCTCAAACTCCTGAGCTCAAGCAATCCTCCTGCCTCATTCTCCCAAATAGCTGGGACTACAGGCATGTGCCACCAGGCCCGGCTAATTTTTTCTATATATTTTTAGTTGGCCAATTAATTTCTATTTTTTTTTTTTTTAATAGAGACGGGGTCTCACTCTTGCTCAGGCTAGCCTTGAACTCCTGACCTTGAGTGATCCGCCCGTCTCGGCCTCCCAGAGAGCTCCAGGCTGGTCTTGAACTCCTGTGCTCAAGTAATCCTCCTGCCTCAGCCTCCTGAGTAGCTCAGACTACAGCTGGACTAATTTTTCTATTTTTTATAGAGACAGGGTCTCACTATGTTGCTCAGGCTGGTCTTAAACTCCTGGCCCCAAGTGATCTTTCCACTTCAGCCTCCCAAAGTGTTAGGATTACAGGTGTGAGCTACCGTGCACAGATAATTTTAAGAAACTTTAAAGGGCAGGATAGCTGATGATTAGAATATAGAAAACAGATATTGCTTACAGTTTATATTAGCTTGATTCATGATGCATAGGATAACCATTTCATGCAAATGTGTCACCTTTTCTTTACAATAATGCAAACAAGTAACTATATAGAATAGTTTAGAAAAGAAAAATCCTTGCAAATATTTTAGTCTTTCCTTAAGGACTAAAATATTTTGTAATCTCCTAGTTTAAATTCAGAATGTCCTATGTTCCTGAATCTTGAATCGCCAGAAGCAATGGAAAGTTAAAAATTAGTTGTAATTCAAGGCCTGTAATCCTAGCACTCCGGGAGGCAGATGTATCGCTCAAGGTCAGGAGTTTGAAACCAGCCTGAGCAAGAGTGAGACCCCATCTCTACTATAAAATAGAAAGAAATTAATCGGCCAACTAATATATAGAGAAAAAAATTAGCCAGGCATGGTGGCATATGCCTGTAGTCCCAACTACTCGGGAGGCTGAGGCAGTAGGATTGCTTGAGCCCAGGAGATTGAGGTTGCTGTGAGCTAGGCTGACGCCAAAGTACTCACTCTAGCCTGGGCAGCAAAGTGAGACTGTGTCAAAAAAAAAAAAAAAAAAAAAAAAAAAATAGTTGTAATTCAAAGATTTTAAAGGTCTTATAGAAATAATGGCCACATCAATGATGGGGATTTACCCATACTATGTTGCACTTACAAATGAGCCCCAAAGTCTAAAGAGATCAACCAAGGAACAGAAGGTCTACTGCACACGGGGCATGAATGCTGGGCCCCCAGTCATGATTAGGTGTCGGGACACACGTGCCCCCACCATGAACACCACCAAACATTTTAGTGCAACACTCTCACTACTTGATTATTACACTAAGTAGATCCCTAAGGGTCAGATATTTATTTAACACAATCTCCAGTTAATAGAAAAGTTGGAAGCACAGTACAAAAGCTTCTATTGCTGAACCATTTGAAAGTACGTTGTTGACAGGATACCTATTATCCCCAAATACTTCTGTAATTCCTACAAACAAGGACATTTTACATAACCTAAACATAACCAACAGAATCAGAGAAAATCAAAAAAATTAACATTTTTGTATTACTACCAGCTAATCCTCAGACATCATTCAAGTTTGGCCAATTGTACCAATAACATCCATTTTGCAAAAGGATCTAGTTCACAGTCTCACACTACATTTCGTATTCACATCTCCTTCTGTCTGGAACAGTTTCTCAGTCTTCCTAGGGCTTTCACACACCTTGATACTTTTGAAGAATGTAGGCTGGTTATTTTGTATAAGCCCCTTGATTTCGATTTATCTTATGTTTCCTCTTAATTAGATTTGGGTTATGCATCTTTGACAGGAATAACACAGAATGGCCATAGTTTTGACTGAGCCCATAACTCAGGCATCCTCAAACTACGGCCCGAGGGCCACATGCGGGTGATTTTGCCTGTTTGTTTTTTACTTCAAAATAAGATATGTGCAGTGTGCATAGGAATTTGTTCATAGTCTGTTTTTTTTTTATTTCGGCATATTATAGGGGTACAAATTTTAAGGTTTCAATAAATGCCCTTTCCCCCCCTCCTCCCACAAGTCTGAGTTTCCAGCATGACCATCCCCCAGATAGTACACATCTCACTCATTATGTACATAGTTTTTTTAAAACTATAATCCAGCCCTCCAATGGTCTGAGGGACAGTGAACTGGCCCCCCCGTTTAAAAAGTTTGAGGTGAGTTTCACTTAGGTCACTTGCTTAAAAAGGATTCTCTTTTGTAACATTACTTTTGCCCTTTTATTAATTTGTGGGAAAATACCTTCAAATGATGCAGAATTCTCATTCCATATCAAATGTTTTATTTATTTATTTTTGTTTAAATAAATAAATTTATTTATTTCAGTATGGACTCATGGTTTTCTATTTTATCCAATGGGTAATAACCCATCACTAACGCTATTCATTCTGACACTCAAGTTGTCCCAGATTTGGCTAGTAGGAGCCCCTTCAATCTGGCTTCTGTGTCCTTGTGACTATACCCCTGTCATTCTTTGAGCATTTCCTTTTATTTGTTTTTTGGTACAAAAAATGTCCCAGGTTCATTTTTTCCTGACCCAGCCCTAGAATAAGCCATTTTGCAAACTACTCTAGTCCCTTTTAGTGGAGAATGGTATTCAGAAACCAAGCTCTGGGTTCTAAGCATTTTTATTGCTATAGAATGACACTGCTCCCGAGCCATAGCTTTCTTCGTTTTTGTATTTGTAAATTTCTTCTACTATAGTGATAAACCTGGCTCCCATGCCCCTTATTTGATCAGGCTCCCTCCCTGTCTATAACCAATCTCCCAGTACCACTACCATTCCTTCTGCCTTGTGCATACCCTCCTCACACCACGTGCAATGTGACACCCTCATCCAGGACACTCCCTCGCGGACACCCTTCTCACCTGCTCTGGACCAACACGGCTCCCCAACTCCTTACTCTGGAGCCACCACACCACCGGCTGATTTTTTTTTTTTTTTAACTTTTTCGTAGAGATCAAATCTCACTTTGTTGTCTAGGCTAGTCTCTAACTCCTGGCCTCAAACAATCCTCCTGCCTTTGCCTCCCAAATTGCTAGGATTACGGGTATAAGCCACCGTGTCTAGGCTGCTCATGTATTTAATGATTGTTACGTCTTGACCAGTCTGAACCAGAGCGAAAACCTATCTCTGCATAAGAGAGAAAAATTAGCCAGGCAGAGTGGTGTGTACTCTGCACACTCCTCCCCAAAAAACTGTTATGTCTTCTTGGTGGACTGACCATTTTAATCACTAAAAAATGTCCTCCATCTTTAGTAAAAATTTTTCCCTCAAAGTCTAAATTTTCTGATATTAGAATAACCGTTCTAACTTTACCACATGATATATATTTTATTATTTATTTATGTTTTTGGAGACAGAGTCTCACTCAGTCACCTCAGGGTAGAGTACACCGGCATCATCATAGCTCACTACAACCTCAAACTCCTGGGCTTTAGTGATCCTCCTGCCTCAGCCTCCCGAGTAGTTGGGACTATAGGCACGTGCCATGAAGTCCAGCTAATTTTTCTATTTTTAGTAGAGACAGGGTCTTGCTCTTACTCAGACTGCCACAAATTTCTAAATTCAAGCTATAATCCTCCCACCTTGACCTCCTAGAGTGCTAGAATTATAGGCATGAGCCACCATGCCTGGCCTATCTTTTACTTTTATACCTGTCTTTGAATTTAAAGTTTATCTTTTATAGACAGAATATAGTTGGATCGTAGTTTTGTTTGTTTTTTGTTTTGGTCAATCTCTGCCTTTTGATTAGAGAGTTTCATCCATTCATATTTAATGTAATTATTAATAAGGTAGGATTTATCTCTGTTATTTTTCTATTTGTTTTCGATATGTCTTACATCTTTTTTTTCTCTATTTCTTCATTACTGCTTTCTTTTGTGGTAAATAGATATTTCCTGGTACACTATTTTAACTTCCTTGTTTTGTACTTTACTATATGTTTTTGAATTATTTTCTTAGTGGTTTGCCTGAGGATTATCACTAATATCTTAATTTAAAATAATCTGGTTTGGATTAATACAAACTTAATTTCTGTAATATAAAAAACTTTGCTCACTGTTACTCCATTTTCTCCTTCCTTTGTGCTATTTTTATACAAATTACATTTTCTAAATTATAAGCCTAGCAATATAGTTTTATAATTATTGTTTATGCAGTTATCTTTTAAATCATATAAAATGTTATAAATGAAAAATACTGACTTTTTAATAAACCTATGCAGTTACCTTTACCAGTGTTCTTTATTTCTTCATATGGATT